ATATATATATATATATATATATATATATATATATATATATATTATAGAAATAGATATGTGTGTATGTATACATACATACATATACGGGTGTTCACATTGTCAAAAGAGGTTAACGTTTATACATGTATAGGATAAGTGAAGCTTTCACATTCCCAAGAAAAGTGCTTCAAAAGCACACCATGCAGCACTGCAATGAAAAATGAACAGAGAAAAAGACAAAATGCATAGCTGCCAGAAGAAAGAGGTTATAAGAAGATGATAAATAAGCTAGAGAGGGAAGCGAATGCAGTAATTTTTTCTCATTCATTCTGAGAGAGGTATACTTTTAAGGGTGTGTAGTGTGCAGTGTCCAGCTAGGGAGAGTGTGGTGTGGTGTGGCACATTCAATACATCCATATAATAGCAGCAAACGCTCTGAACCTGACATGGGGCGATTTAAAATTCAGTACTCTCAATCTCTCACAATGTCCCCTTGTTGTGGGTGCGCATCACTTTTTGCTGACACTACAAGGCAAGATGATAAAAGATAGAAATTGTTGCACACAGTGTGGTGGAAAGAGAGAGGGTGAAAAGGACTTGACTGGAACGGAAACCATCAAGGCCTTGAAGGGCTACACCACCGTTAACCACTACCAGAAGAGAATGATGTATCATAATGAAGCAGATTAGCCCTTTAGGTATGGTAAGATCTCATTTGAGAAGGAGAGAAGAAAAGAGAATGCTTTCTCAAAAGGGGTAATTATAATTTCAACATGCTATGATGAAAGGAGAGACACAAAAGAAAGTAACAAGAAAGATTTAAGAAAAGGAGAGAGGGGGCATATGATATGATGTGATATAGCTTGTTCTGGTGGTGAAATATGAATTTATCAGAATCCCCACAAGTTCTTGTAGAAAGAAAGAGAGGACACTGCCTCTGTACTTAAGGGAAGCAACAAGGCTGAAACCGTGAAAAAACTTGATGAAATATACGATATCATAAAAGACGATATGATGCTTCACCCTCATCGCCACAGAAAGGCAATTAAGGGATCAAATCAAAGACTGAGGAGAGAGAAACTGCACTGCGTACCATCACATGGATTTGTTGTGTTCAGATTTAATTTTCTGAACCGTGTTAATTTAGCACACAAGTACACAGACCAACAAAGAATAAAAAATACCATATACCAAACCAAATCATATACTCATATACTAGTTGCTGTTTACTCTTCTGCCAAAAAAAATTATTATTTATTACAAAGTTGAACAAAAGAGGGGAACCCTAATACCTGTGAATAACCCTAGTATATAGATCTCAAGGCTGAGCCTTAGTAAGCATTTTTTAAGCATCTCAAAATTTCTTCCACTTCTGACTCACAAAATTCCTTTATTTCTCACAATTGTGTTGTTAGGTACAGGTAGGGGTTTCAATTATTTAATTTCATAACTTTCTGCTATTACTTTGGCTGCATATATAATATAAATATATATAAACATATATATCTCTTGCCGCTGACCAAACTAGCACCACTCATATCAAGGTAGAGGTTAGGGAGCAAAACCCAGTTACACTTTCTCATAAAATATTACATAGCAGTGGAATCCTTGGTACAAAAAGCCACTCCATTTACCGAATTAATTCACTTTAAGTGATAGATTGGAGTGTTTCCCCGGGAATTAAGTTACCCTTATGTATAAATTGGGATACTTCTGTTGCATGCTTTCCAACAGTTAAGTTTTCATCCATTTATGTAATATATATAAATATGTGGATATATATATATATACACACACACAGACATGCATTCTGATTAGGTCTGAACTGAATTTCGCTTTTTGATGGGTACCCAGAAGCGCTTTTTCTTTATTCCTGGCTGTTGTATCATCTCACGATCTCGATCGATTAAAGAAATTAGAAAAAACCAGACTTGCCAAATTAGCTGGTGAAGGGCGTGGCGCAACAGAAAGCTCAGAAGAGTATGGAAAGAAATAACCAAAGAGAAGAAAGAAAGAGAGAGANTATAGATCTCAAGGCTGAGCCTTAGTAAGCATTTTTTAAGCATCTCAAAATTTCTTCCACTTCTGACTCACAAAATTCCTTTATTTCTCACAATTGTGTTGTTAGGTACCGGTAGGGGTTTCAATTATTTAATTTCATAACTTTCTGCTATTACTTTGGCTGCATATATAATATAAATATATATAAACATATATATCTCTTGCCGCTGACCAAACTAGCACCACTCATATCAAGGTAGAGGTTAGGGAGCAAAACCCAGTTACACTTTCTCATAAAATATTACATAGCAGTGGAATCCTTGGTACAAAAAACCACCCCATTTACCGAATTAATTCACTTTAAGTGATAGATTGGAGTGTTTCCCCGGGAATTAAGTTACCCTTATGTATAAATTGGGATACTTCTGTTGCATGCTTTCCAACAGTTAAGTTTTCATCCATTTATGTAATATATATAAATATGTGGATATATATATATTCACACACAACAGACATGCATTCTGATTAGGTCTGAACTGAATTTCGCTTTTTGATGGGTACCCAGAAGCGCTTTTTCTTTATTCCTGGCTGTTGTATCATCTCACGATCTCGATCGATTAAAGAAATTAGAAAAAACCAGACTTGCCAAATTAGCTGGTGAAGGGCGTGGCGCAACAGAAAGCTCAGAAGAGTATGGAAAGAAATAACCAAAGAGAAGAAAGAAAGAGAGACATAGATAGGTAGATAGATATAGAGAGAGAAAGAGAAAGAGAGAAAGAGAGTTCTGTACCGCTAGAATGGTGTTGCAGAAGTTGCAGTGAACATAACAAACACGTTCCGTTGCCATCATTTCCATTGACATTTTTAATCTATATGTGACTGTGTCCTTTGAGTGTGTGCTTGGTGGATTTATAGGCAGATCACGGGGGAGAGAATCACTTGG